GTGTGTCTCGGGGAGCATGGAGCTGAGGAGCACGACGCAGGCGAGCAGACCGCGCAAGCGTGTCTCGGGGCAAGGAGCCGAGGAGCACGACGCAGGCGGGCTGGCCACGCAGGTGTGTCTCGGGAGCATGGAGCCGAGGAGCACGATGCAGGCAGGCTGGCCGCGCAGATGTGTCTCGGGGGCATGGAGCCGAGGAACACAACGCAGGCGGGCTGGCCACGTAAGTGTGTCTCGGGGAGCATGGAGCCGAGGAGCACGACGCAGGCGGGTAGGCCGCGCAGGCGTGTCTCGGGGCAAGGAGCCGAGGAGCACGACGCAGGCGGGCTGGTCGCGCAGGTGTATCTCGGGGAGCATGAAGCCGAGGAGCACGTCGCTGATTAGGTGCACCCGAAAGCTGGATGTGATCAGAGCACTGCCCAACAAAAGGGTGGCCAATTCAATCCACAAACATGGATGGCTCGACCCACGAATCAAATCCTACACTAGGTTCCATACGAGGCCCGCATTTCCAGGTGGCCATGAATGCAGGAACCGGGCTTCATCTTCGTCCGGAAACCGTGGATCACCTGACAACTCTGTATCGGATGCTGAGTGCAGCCATCTTCCAAGCATGAGTGACACTGGTTTATGAGAACTACCTATGAACAAGGGACATGGAATCTTTCTTCGGAACAGTAGTCAGGGAACACAAAATAGTAGTTGCTTTCGACTTCCTCAGTTCATGGTCTGCAAGTGTGCTGGCTCTCTTTGTTAGGAATAAGTGGAGTTCCATTTCTCTTCTTCTCAGAACAGCCTATGGATGAATACATCTCCATTATCAAATGCATATCTTCCACTTCCATGCACTGTGTACTCTTTTAAGTAGAGAGTTGCACTCGATTCTATCTGACAAGTGTTGTTGAGGTCTCCCACAAGAAAGAGCTCTTCCGTTGTACCTCTTTTTTCAGCTTAAACCAGTGGTCACATGGCAACAACTATTGTGCCCATTGATCTGTAGTTCTCTTTCCCTCGAAACTTCTGTAGTCTCAAGGATTCAGATAACTAGACTAGGAGTTACTGTAACAACAGCAAATCCACCAGCCAATGGGCCGTGGTAAATTTATGGGTAAATTTATGTGTGTTTTCTGTCATAGCTATCAAAGATACGTCTCCTCTGTGACATGACTGGGTCGAAGGTCCTGGATTCATGGAGTCCATGAGAGACAGAGAAAAGGCTACAGCAGAGCACCAAAGAGTGAGCTCATCACATCAGGTGCAGGGAAAAGCCACCATCAAACTCCGGGTGCTGCTGCATGTACTTTTGGAGCACCTCATCATTGATCCGAAGGGCTCAGATTGGTCTGGTTGACGAAGAAGACGAGGTTGACAGTGTACGATACTACTGCGCCTGGTTGACTGGCACAGTGGATGGTACCGCCGTACCCAATCTCCTTGTCTACAGGCAGTTGAAGAAATGGCAAATTTATGGGTAAAAGTTCCTCTGTCTTTTGATCAAATGCTGAAAAGTAAAGGTGAGATTTTTTTCACTTGGCTGATCAAAAAAATCATTTCAACATGACAATGATCAGCATTTTTTATTTACTAGATCAGTTTAAGGAGAAAACTGCTCTTAAAGATGGCACATTACATTTCCTATGTGCTGCATTAAGCTTATGCAGCAACTTGAATTGTGAATGCTCCATCCATAATGTTCAGAGAAGATCTCTTTTCAATGACAAGAAAACTACAAAGATCAAATAGCACTGTTGCAAAGATCTGTTCATAGTGCATTGCAGCATATGGAGATGGTTTCATGTCTTTGATCAAACTTGCAAGTCTGGCTGGCAAATGAAGATAAAAAGCAGATAATATAAGCCAAGCATAGCACATATACCAATCCATGCAACTTGATCTTTCTTAGGCATCCTTATTGTATTTTAGTTGCTTCTGTGCATTATTCAACGTTCAGTAGATTAAAGAGATGCTGAAACTGATGATGATAATGAACCGAAAAGACCGAAACAATACCCCTACAAGTTGGTAGTATACTGAGCAAGATAAAATATTTAAAACATCCAAAAAACAAAGTTATGGTATTTTTTCTTTAAAACACGCAGGTCAGAAAGTTTAAGCACAATAAAAGACCATCAAAGTATATTCACTCGACCCGGAGAACAACCATATCCACATTGATGAAGAGTAACAATACAAATCAATGCCAATTTTGTAACAACTAAACACACACCAAAAGCAGGGTAATAGCAGCTAAGCTCGATCATTGTTTCAATGTATTCAGAGCAATTCCCTAATCCTCTTCAGGTTGACTCTACAGCCCAAGATATCATTATACACACGAAAATTAAGCAAACCAATACTTATCCAATAAGGCAAGCATGATAGAACAAAAGGAAACCCTTTGGGCATGTAGCAAATTCTAGAAGTGGCATCTTGAAGTTTCGTATTATTCATCAAATAATAAAAAGATGTTCATGGACCATGATATTTCAAATCAAACAACAGAAAGAGCAAAAAGTTTCCTTGATAAGTTTACAGAAATGATAATTTAACTAGTTATGTTCTCGGTTAGCTATGCCAATGACATATACTAAGAATCATTATCAACTAAAATCATAATTCCCCTCTCTTTGGCTGTGTCTACTAATCATTATCAACTTGAAAATGATAATTTTCAAGTGATAGCATGACATTTTACAAAATACATGCAATGGCTAAAACTAGGTTACACGGTTTAAAAATTAAACCAACCAGAGAAATAAAATATGTGCAGGTGATTGTGAAGGCAAATTGAGATGTTCAACCCATGTTGTAGATCTTATGCAATATAACAAAACCAGGAAGTGTAAAATGCACAGACCAAACCGCAATCAATACCTTCAATGCATATAAACCTACCATTCATCGAGAGTTCAAATTACTCCAAAGATTTAACTTATTAACAAAATTTATCCTGCATGATTCCATATCTGTATAATTGTTGATTGGCCTCCAAATGCGAAATAAATGAAAGGGTGAGAAAAGTAGACAAATAATGAAGATCAGGAGTTACACAGACAAGAGATACTGAGTCTTCAGTCCAATTGGAATTTCAGAAAAGCCAGTTATCACCCATTAGGCAGAATTATTACTTTGCACCCACTAACAAGCTGAACTTGTAAACCCCTCCAGGGAAAGTAAAAAACAGGTCTCAATAGATTGGATCAATCAGCAGCCCATCACAGCACAATTATAAACAAAGTTGCCCGAATGCTTGCTCGCAATCATGTTCCATACTGGTGGTTCCCCATTTGGAATCCAGGAGTTGAGCTCAATCATTCCTCCAAAGGAATCTCTGGTTCCACCAATCACTATTAGTCGTTCGCCACAGGCACGGAATGCAAGCCCCCAGCCATTCATTGAGACACAGCTTTCGGGCAACCTTCCCAATCCGACCCATGTATTATTCACTTTATTGTACTTCCTCAACTCCTTATCAGCATAATGAGCTGCATAAAGCTCGTTGTTCACCACAGCTACAAGTGGAGGTGCACCACTCGCACCGTTGAGTCCTGAAGACATGTCAGGGATCACCCTCCAAGAACGTCGCTCCAGATCATACTCTTCCCCACATGTCAGGACCTTTGTGTTACTGGCCATTCCACCAATGACATAAAATTTCCCATCCATGAATACCCCCGAGCACATCTTTCTTGCTCGGTTCATACTAGGTAAGGTCTCCCAGGTATGGGTCTCGGAATTGTAAATCTCTGCAGTGCTCACTATGTCACCCTGAGCATTGATTCCTCCAGCTATAATTGCTTTAACTCCCAGGCTAGCAGAGCCAAACAAGCACCTAGGTGAGTTCATAACCACACCAGGAGACCAGGAGTTAGTCAAAATGCTATATCTCAGCACAATATGGGAATTCACCTCCTTACCAAAAACAAGGAGCTCAGTGCCCACTGCAAGGGACTCCTTATCAGAGCACATGAAGCTCTCGGTAGGGGGCATCTTAGGAACCATAATCCAGCGCTCACGATATGGATCATAAGCATCCCATTCATGGATGCTGCAGGAGAAATAGACCCAATGCTCAATGATATCCATCTTGCGACGTAGTTGGTAGAGCTCTCCGCTATGAATCAATGATCGGAACATACGATTGAGTGATGCGACAGCACCATAATCTGACCGAGAAAGGTGAAGAAGGCAGCTAATTATCAGCTCCCGGCCAAGCCTGCTGACAATGTTTGAATCGCTATACTTCCCATCGCTTCTGTGGTGATATGGACCGTCCAGAGGCAGCTCCATATCTTTGATATCAGGGGTTTCAGGCTGCTGTGGTGATCTATTCATTTTAACCTGACCTTCTAGCTGTCGTTCTTCAAATTTCTCATCCAGTCGACGTTTCTTGTTGCCCGAGGACTCATGGAAATAGCAATCCATGCAATGCCAATTTGATTCTTGTTCACGGGAGCTTCTGAACGACCTCGATATCAAATAAGAGCGGCCGTCCAACATAACTCCAAAGCTCAAACCCAATCAAAGCCTGAAATTTTCAATTAGTGGCCATGAAATACCTCCTTCTGTCCTCCCCGAAGTATAATCTGACTTGACTTGGACCACAAAGAAAGAGTAAGAACGAAATAGATTGGAAAAAGTAGATTTTGTGTAGTCTCCTGTGCTAAGTGATCTAGAATACTTGCGCATAGATCGGATACAAGGATAAGAACCAAAAATAAATAAAAACCATAAAAATCCAATCTTTTTGTGCGTTCCAGTATGCTCACCAACAGAAGCGGCGAATCACCGATCTGAGAGGCGAAAAAAATGCGAACCCTGGATAGAATCAGCGCGATTCCACAAAGGCTCTATACGCAAAAGGAAAAGAGAAGGAAAGAACCCAGAGACCAAAATCTCAGAACAACGAAACTCATGACAGAAATTAGCCGACGGGAACGAAGAAATTAGCTAAAAGATCCTAACTTCACTCGGATTCCCAGCCATGAGATCGAAAAAACACAAGAAAAACCCAATTTTTGGTATCCTCGTATTTCTTTATCCAAAAACAAATAGAAAAAAACTTGGTTTTTTTTGGTAGAGGCAAAGAGGATCGAGGGAGATGGAGATATCGAAGGAAGGAAGGGAACTCACGGATCGGTTTGGGGAATCAAGAGGCGAGGGAACGGAAAGACGAGTAAATAGATGAAAGGAGAGGCCCTTTTCGGAAAATAAACTTCTCTCTCGTCTTCTTCTTCTTCTTCTTCTTCCTACCACATCCCCTCCATTTTCCTATTCCCCTTCGACTTCCGCTTCTTCCACTTCTCGCTCAATCTTCCCTTTCACCTATACGCTTCGTTATAGACCAAAATTTAAGGTCATTAATCTCCCCTTTTTTTTTAATCTTAATTATGGGTATAATATACTAATAATTCCATTGAATGGATTTTGTTCCAAAGATGGGAAGTGGGACCCCTTTTTGGGCCTCTACTTCACCTGGCATTTTAACTCTTAATAATTTCTTCCTTACTCCATTCTTAATTACTTTGTCTACTAAATTCTCAGTTTCTTTAAATTTCTTATTCCAAAGTTTAATTCTTTCTTCTTGTTTTTTCACTTTTTTATTTGCGAGAATATACATTTTTTCGATAATTCTTGAGAAAATAAGTTGACTCTCGCGTGCCCTCAGATGTCACGGTTAACCAATAGAAAATAATTACGAATAAATTTAGTAGTCGTTTTGTTTCCTACCCCATATATATATATATATATATATATATATATATATATATAATTTTTGGTAACCCATATATATATATAATTTTACTATTTATAACATCTTAATTACTAATATTACCTTTTGTTTCGTATGACCCCTTAAAATTGCTCGTTATTTTTTCTCCATTAGTTGCTCATTGCTTAACACTAACCAACATCGCTCGATGCCTCCTCGTTGCTCGACATTATCTAGTGTTGTTTGAAGAACATCACTTAAGGGTGACAATGACAATACCGACAACATCATGCGTTGACTTGATGTGAGTGACCACTCGATAGATGCCACTCAATGATCTAACACACGTAGGATGTTGCTCAATGCCACTTCATTGTTTGACATCACTTTGTCACCTCGTTGATGACTCGACATAGAGGTAATCTTAAATCTACCTTGTTGATCCCTACAAAAGGCACGTTTGTCACTTATCGATCGAATTCCACCAGGTGAGCTGATTCAAAGGATGAGGTGAGCTGATTCAAAGGATGAGTAAGATGTGTATGTGTCTCGAAATATGTATCTTTTATGGTATCCATTTGAGAAGGATGTAAATAGCAAAACGAGATTCTTAATAAAAATCTCATAAATTTAACTATATTTAAAAATATCCATGTAAATATTAAAATTATAAATACATCCTCAAAATATGAGTTTTATGGATGGGGGAAACTCTAAAATTATTTGAGAGGTATTTTATAAATTAGGTCCAAATTAAATATAAAAAATAACATATTACATACCTAAAGATGAATTGAATATAAAAAAGACACACTGACCTTCAAAAATAGACAATATTTCTTAAAAAAATATGAAATATATGGCTCTATAACATAGGACAAATGACATGAGGAATTATGCTACACAATTATATTGTGATGCGTGAAGTGCGAATCATTATGGATCTATATTAAACGGATTCTAATATATATAGTTTAACTTGATTGTTACATCACTAAATTGGTACGGAAAATATTTTCTTAGATCATTGTATATTAATTGAGTCTGTCTTTACGCTATAAAATACGTCTCCTCCAAAGAGAAAGAAAACTCTCTCACAGCCCTTTACGTTTATCTTCTCTACCTTTTCTCAATATTAGAGGCATCAAATTGGATTATTTTACTTCATTTCAGTACACAAACTATCATGAAATGCTCAAAGATCGGTAGGTGTTCTTCTTCTATTTTTTGAGGGCTCGGTGGACCCAAACCAATGAGATGGTCTCCTTGAGCTGTCTTGACAACACCACTTAGTCCATGATGGGTTGAATCCAAAGCCTTCCATTGAGTGAGTGTGACAACACTTGTTGTTTATATAGGATTGGATGGTGAAATGTCCAATCCCAAGAAAGGAATTGATTGATATGATGCATGATGTAAAAATTTCTTCAAGAAAATTTATAGAATAATATTCAAAGAACATTCAGAGATCAATTCTTGACTTTGAGGTGAGGTAAGAGGGTTAAGACTTCAATTCTCGCAGTAGGATTGTATTAGCTCAATATATGATCATCATGGACAAATATAAATAAATATACATCTTAATTCAAGAGATTTAAAGGGTTCAATGTCTTCATCATCTAATGGCTAATTAATTGCTAGTATATGGCATGCCCCCACTAAGCTGCATGCTTGTCTACAATGACTATGATTTTATCAAGAGTATACACTGACACACAGAACAAACAAAAAAAAAATCTCTTAGTGCATAAATATCTTCTCCTCTCAATCAAACTTATTAATTTCAATCTCAATCAAAAACACATTTATTTCCCATCTAATTTTTTTAAAAAAAATCATTACATGTTTCTCGGTTTAAATTCGATACTCTTTAATCATGTTTTAGATGAGTTAGAAAAATAGATAGATGTACTAAGATAGTTAACAGAATTCGACATTGATATTCTCATTGCCAAATTAATTTTAGGTATTTGCTTCTTCAATTAATAGGAAATTAGGTTTCGAGTTCGATACGATCGATAGATATATATCGTCCTGCCATTTTAAAATTATTATAATTTTTCATATATATATATATATATATATATATATCAAAAAGGTAATAAAAGAGTGCTAAATGGGTGGGAAAGTATTCCAAAAATAGTAGATCTAGCTTTCTTTGGAGGCATATTTCAATTCTGAGGAACAAGGAAAATGTTATATCAGAATTTTGAATTAATGTAGTTGTTTTGCTTTGTGAAAAAGAAAATTTGCATGACATAAGATGAGATTCAATCAAATTTAGTTGGTGCATTATATAAATCTTCTCTCTTCCTGTCTGTATCCTAATTCTCATCAATAATAGTACTAATGATGACTTCTTCAAGCAAACTTTGCAGCTAAGGGTCAAGGATTACAGAGCGTTCTCTCTGTCTTTAGTTGAATGTGGAGACGTGAGCCATTGTCCTAAAACGACATGAAGTTTAACGGGTGTTGAACACATGGACGGAAGAAGAGCCTTAAACGCCGCAGTTGTTGAAGAAGAAGACAACTCCGACATTTGGAGTTCACAGAAACCAAAGTGGTTCAATAAAAGATAGCACCGCCGGGAAGAGTCCCAAAAGCCAAAACTTCTGCCCATCATGCGAAAGTTTCTACTGCCGGAACTGAAAAAGAAGAAGGTAATCTGATAGTTCACGCATGCTTATCTACAGCATATGACATGACCTAAAGCGAGCAGAGCAAATCTATCTTGGTCGCAGCCAAAAGGACCTACAAGAGCTGGTCAAGCAAGATACCATGGGAGCGAACTGTGGAAGGTAGAGAAGCATGCGTTGATGAGACTACCAAGGTTGCTTCAAGAATAAGCAAATTGAATTCAGGAAAAGACAGAGTTTTAATGTGGATTTCGTTTGGGATTAAAATGAAATCTTATTATTGAAGAATTTAATTTCTACTGTGTCGAATTGTATCCATTACTTCTGAATTTGTATTTGTTTTGGTGTTTTATTCTGTTGATTGTTCATAATGTTCCCGATCTTGCTGGTACGGTTTGTTCTACCTTTCCCTGTCGAAGCCAGTAGGCAAATTAACACCTGCTTCAGATGATGGATTGGACGGCTTTGTGGAAATTTGTGCTGCAAGATGACAATGTGTATCTTTGTTGACTCTTTAAACAGCAATTAACCAATCTTCGTTTGCAGATTTGTATTTTAGCTTGTGATGATGGTGATGGCTAGCTAGGAAAAATGCTTATCCTAATGGCTTCTTGTGCTGCCTGATCAAAGAAAGCTGTAAGAAGATAAAAAGATGATGTTAGAGTGGAGAACTTATCAAAGAATGCTGATAAAATTATAAGGTCATCATCTAGTCATGTTCATATGCTAAATTAAATATAAGGAAAACAAATGTTATCTGCTTCTTCATCAAATCATTCTACTTATGTTCATCAGAAAGATTTTTTCAGATATGTTGGAGCAGATTGGTGTCTGTTGTCAGAGATTAGAGAAAGTCTTAGGGAACATTGGGGCATATTACTGCAGTTATGATTAATGTCTAAAGTTTGGCAATCCAAAGTGCAAATATTCTGGTTTTTTTGTTGTTGTTGTTGCTTTGAGTGTTCTATTAGGACTCAGTTATGATTAAGCAATCAAATTTCATGTAGCAGTTATAGTTATCTCAGATGATAAAACACTCCTCAAAGTTAAAGATCATGATTTGAATAAATGCTTCTCCCAGAACACAAAAGATTGAACTCTCTGTTCATGACATCATGGAAGAAGGCAAGTCTCAAGTAAAACTTGATACACATCCCAACTTATACTTCAATCCATTTTTGTCTCTTGTTTTAAGCTTTTTCATAAGAGACACTTGATTGAGTTCTGCAGTATCTCCTTCTTGCAAATCAAGTAGTCTATGCCATTTTCAAAAGAGGGCTACTTATGTTCCTGCCTAACCTACACTTGTAGGAAAGCAAATGTCAATAATTATTCACTTGCAAAGCAGTAGAGCATTTTAATGATGAACAGAATGCCTTGTTGTGACTGTTGTCTTTATCATGACAAGAAGGCTTGAGACTGAACAAATCAACAGTGCAGTTCAGCTTCCTTTGGACTAAATCATGATGCCAGCATATCTTTAGCAACAAAAACTGTTCGAAGTAATCCTTCTAAGGGAAATAATTGCTTGGTTTTTAGCACCAGTGAGGTAGCAAGAATTAAACAGCATCAGAAAAGAATTGGAGAAGGAGAATATGCTGCAAGCTCACACCACATTCTCCTTTGCTTGTGGCAAAGCCTTCACCTGAGTGAAACATGCAAAGCCTTCACAGCGCCTAGTTTGTGATCTCGAGGTAAATACCAAAGCCAACATTAGCTTTGGAACTTATCAAACATGTCTTATCATTGATGGGAGATCAAGATAAAGATGATCGATAATAGGGTGTCGTTCTCTCACTAGTGTGCAAGGATCGAGGATGGATCAATCATTCATTCGTTTTTAGAATCAGCATTATTAAGACCACTAGGTTTTGAGGGTGAAGGCCATTAAAGATGCGGGGAAGACAGAGGATGTAACGATCACTGTGAAGTTTCCATTAGTATATGAATTATAATTCATCACATTGGA